ACGAACAGAACACCCCGCCAAGGAGACCAACCGAATGTGTAAGATCTAGAAAAACCGAAGTGAACGGAGAAGTTAAGTTCATGGAGGTAGGCCTAGGCCCACTGGGGCTGTAGTGCCAAGGAAAAAAAAAATACTCAGTTGACATTGCCACTTTCATTTGCCCTTGGGGTCCGGTAGCATATTCTGTGAGGCTGTCTGTATTTTATAGGCAACAGCCATAAAGCTGAAAAATCGTGCAACTGAATAATGATGACGATATTTTAGAGCTCAGTTTTTATGATGCTACTTGTACAAGAGAATTTTTGCTGAGGNGCTGTATGGTTCAGATCTTTCTTCTATTCATCAAACATTCCTTGTACTGGAATTCGGGGTCTGGACGCCATAACAACTGAACACCGCCTGTTAGAAAATTTCATGCATCAGATCATTTGAGCCCAGAACTAGAATATTGTGACGTGTACCGTATATCTTTCATGGACAGTAACTTACCGACAAGTATCATATTGTTCGAATATTGTACAACGATTTTCTCATATCCACTAGTGTTGTCGGGTTACGATAAGATGAGGCCTCTCTATAAATTCATGACTACAATTTCTAATTATTTTCCGAAATATTTAATCTTCATTTGATGCATTATATGTCCGCACCGTGTTATGTTTCAACGGAATGTCCAGTTGCTTCTCTATTCATCATCATCATCAATCTGTCAGACGACAGGTCCACAGTCTCTTCCAAAACAATTCCTCCACTTAATGCGATCTAGAGCTTTCTCCTTCAAATGACAGTATCCTCTTCTGTCCCCAAGGTCATCCAGCATCTTCTTATGTCTTCTTCCTCGTCTTCTTGTCACTTCTATCCGCCCCTCTATCTTTCCTTCAAAAACTTCTTTTAGAAGGCAGTTTCTGCGTAAAACATGACCAATCCAATTAGCCTTCCGTTTTCTTATTTCGTGTAGGATATTCCTCTGCTCACTGACTCTAATTAACACTTCTTCATTTCTCACATAATCGGTCCAACTGATCTTCTCCATCCTTCTCCAACACCACATTTCAAAACTTTCCAGATGTTTCTGATCTACTGCCCTAAGTGTCCATGTTTCAGCCCCATACAGAGCTATGCTCCAAATGTAGCATTTCACTAGTTTCTTCCTCAAATTTAAGTCCAATTTGCTGGTAAAAAGATTCTTCTTCTTGCTAAATGCAGCTTTTGTCATGCTTCTCTAGTAGGTAATAATATCTCAGTTATATTGTTTTTACAGTTGTACACTGCGCATTCATATCACTGAGACTGTACACCATGCATCCATTTCTCTTAATAATTATTCCTTCTCATTTCATATGATATCCATCCTAATTTGGAAATATGAATTATTACGAAAACCAAGGTTACTATAGAGGTTATAACTGTTCCAGCGTTGGTAGTAGTTCTAATGGACGTAATGTTAACAGTTGCAGTAGTGGAGAACTGCAGTAATATTAAGGTAATGCGTGATGTTTATGGCGATGACACTGCTAATGGCAGTGGAAGAATTTAAAACAAGGCAGATGGCGATGTTGTAATTGGGCTAATGACGCTGAATTTGGCGGCGTCAGATAACTGAATCATGATGAAGATTTCTGTCCACTGTTTTGCATGGGCGAGGACACCAGTGTGTCGCTCTGGAATGGAGATTGAAGACAATTTGGGGGGGGGAGTGGAGCGAAAGCGAGAACCCTCAGTCCCCCTGGACGTGAATCATCAGAGAAGTGAACAAATTGGTGACATGAAGCTGCACTTAGTATTTTTCCTTTTGGGCTACAGCTCCAATTTGAACCTTGGCTTGCATCCATGAAATTCTACGTTTCACTACGGTTTACTAGATCTTAAGACATTCGATAGGACTCCTTGGGCGGGTGATCAGATCATCCAAGGCTTCTACCTGTACACAAACACAGAAGAAGGGATATACACACAAACACCAAACATCCATACCCTGAGTGTGGATTCGAACCCACGATCCCGGCTTCCGAGCGAGCGAAGATAGTGCATGCATCAGACCGCTCGGCTACCGTGACCGGCGCTCTTAGTATTACTCGGAAGAAAATAAAGGATGATAGGCTGGTTGTAGCTAATGAAATATATGGGAAAAGAAAAAAATCGTAAAAGCTAAAATTATCCCTGTGCTTAACGAAGTAAACACTACTTCATGAAGGCGTATGGGGAAGTTGATGTATAGATCAACATTTGCTTGACTTCTGCACTAGCTGGAGGTGAGTGGTCAGCTTTACGCCTCGGCCGCTTTAACCCCTGG